ACCCTTACATCCCCATTTATGGCTTCCTATCCTTTCAAAAGCCCGGCGGTAATAAATGATAGCGAGAGTAAAACGCGCCGAGTTGAGAGAAATAGAGAGAAAGAGAAAATAAGAGAGAGAGAGAGAGAAAAAGTAAAAGAGGTGACTTTTTCTATGTTTGCACCGACGGGTAATTAGACGCGGAAAATTACTTTGCGGGTCGTTACGTGTGGCCAATAAAGGCGTGCCGTTTGCGAAAAGTGTCGGTCCGACGTGACAGATTGCTGAACTTTCGCGACGCAAGTGTGAAATTGCGATTATTATTCCACGTGTTATATCAGGAACACACACGCGCACACACATAGCTCTTTTCCGTGAAATCCATGTTCGATTTAATATAACGCATCGATTGATGACAATTATTGTCTTATTTTCGAAAGTAGATTAACAGGATATTCGCAGCAGATGAAACATCATTCTCCGGCATAGAATAATCAGTCGAAAATAATAAAAGGAAATGTGCAAAAAGAAACAAAGAAAATGTAATATGCAACAAATATCGGGAGAAGAATGAAATCATGATTAATATGGCAAAAAAATTGTCGATATAATTAGTCTGTATAACTATATATCTTTCGGAGCTTCAATGTGACTCAAATTTCAGACTAACTCTCGCGAGTAATATATATACATATGTATGTAATGATATAACAGAAATGAGATAACAGGAAATAATTATTATCAACATCTAGCGTTCATGTAATTTGATATTTTTCAGTATCAAGTAATTTAATATTTTAAATTTGATCAAGTAAATTTTACTATTTTTTTGACAAAAATTTTAATTAGAATTATCAAATATTTTTAAAAGAGAGTCCAGAATTTTGTGTAACCTGTTTTTCTGTAAAAATTTGAACTACAATGTATCACTGATTTTTTAATATTATAACTCCGCGATATCTTTCTGTATATTACTTATGTTTTTTTCTGTTAAAACCATTTTTTTGTAACTTTTGCCGATTTACTTATTAACTAATATGATACTTTTGTTTAATTTTATGAGACAAATAATTAAAAATCTTCTTAGCCAAGTGTTCCAGTGATTCGAGATGACAGATCTTTTACTAGCCAATAAGCTTTTTAATTAAATGGCACCCCAATATTATTTTTTATCGCAAGTAGTAATAATTCACTTTATAGCTCGATGCCTCGTCAAACTGTTACGATGCAGTTTCTTCTCTATTGTTACTGGCGCACGCAGTGATTTTTTTCTCATAAGTCTGCTTTTTCATTTTGCGTGCATTATGTCGAGCGGTTCGCAGCTTTAAGCGAAAGATTATATTGCGGCTACTATAAAAAGAAACAAGACGCTTAAAAATTTACACAGTATATATAACACATGTATCCTTGGCTCTGTTACGCTATCGGTATTGCATCGCGTGCATAAATCTGATCTTACATCCTTATATAAAAACGAGCATATGTGGAATACTTTGTTCTCGTTTTGACCGAGAAGATTAACCCAGAAATTCCGCTTCTCCACTCTAAGTGGATTCCAAATCAGCGACGATAGCATGGATATCTCTTGGAAAAATCGAAGACGACACTTGGGATTCGAATCTTGGCCAGTTTAATTGGATTCCGAAAGTCGATGCAGCATACTAGATCAATCAAGGAATTACTCGATAAAATTCTTTAGAATAGTTCGAATGAAAATATCGAATAAATTCTAATATACGGAATAACGCAAATATAATTATTTCATGAAATAGAGAAACTATGGAGAAAAATAAAGATTATATTAAAATTTGAAATATGATAATTTATAGAAATTCAACTTGTACACGACAGTAATATGTAAAATCATTCTCAATCGATACAATTACGAAGAAACGTGCTTTATATTCCTTCGCGCAAATTTCCATCATTTATCTCGATTCAGTTTTATCTTAAAAAATATCTTCGTTCTTTTATCAGCGAAAAAGAGGAATATAATTCGAAGGAGAGAACAAATTAAAGCGAGAGGCACAGCATCGAGGAGGAGAAATGAGAATTCACGATACGCGACATCACGTCGTAGCTACGTTACGAGAGCACCTTATCGCGTGAGCGCAATGGCAATTTATTTGTTCGCCAAGAGAGGATCCATTCTACGCTGATCAGGACGTATTCCACGACGCATGTGCGCCGATTGAACTCGCGAGCAAAGCTCTGCATCGGGAATTTTTCTTTTTATATTGCGGCTGTGAAAGTTGTACGATAGCGGCGATGCCATTTTCCGCGAAGCTCCCTCGCAGCTTTTTCGGAGTTTCCTCCTGTGTAATGCATCCAACAAAATGTCGTTGCGCATTCTTGCGCAAGCGAAATCCCGTAGCGTCAATCGCTCAATCAGACGTTCGTTCTGTTTCTAAAATGCATCGACGTTTTCACGACAGACTGCCGCTTGATACTTACGATTCGACTATTCGTCTCGTAATCTCAAGCTGCCGCCGTGATTTGACGCTACGAAACGAGATTTCGGTGTGTTTTCGTTTAAATCCGAAGTAAAGACGTAAGTCGACGATGCTATCGACAAATATCTCCAGACGAATCGAAGTGAAAATCCAACGCGAATATCTCACTTCGCTTTTATAAAGCTATCATGATTATCGGTTGTAATTATCAATCTATATATATATCTCGATCTCCATTTAATGATAAGTCTCTTTTTAATGTCAGAATTTATCGTATTGTATTAGATATATGTTACTCGATGCACATCAAGACGATCGTTAGAAATAATCTTTGGAAGATTTTGGCAAGTTACTGACGACATTAATATCTCCACGTGTTCATTTAATCTGCGATGACCTTGCGCGAATATCTGCGGGATATTAATTTCTCGATATTTTGCAAGTAAAATTTATACAATGTTTGACATATTAATCTTGATGGAATTTCGTCAACTGTCGTATATCGATCGAGGTAAAAAAATACATCGAGGTCGTGGCAAACTTCCGCGTGCAATTATCGTTCGGACTTTGAGATAGTTATATAATTATAAAACTATTAATATTTGCTTTTTCAATTAAGCTTCTTGCACTTTTTTCTCATGCTTGTAAAAATATATATAAAATCTCAACATCAAAAGTTCACTTAATGAGTCAATAAGTCATTATATCACAAAGTAATTATATCTTTAGCATATTAAATTTTTTTCTTATTTAATCACTATTTGATATAAAACTATATTACACCAATTTCTTTGCATTACATACGCAAAATTTGAATTGAACGCTATTCTTTGGCGATTTTTATATAAATCTTACCAAGTGAATGAAATCGCTGATAATAAGCAGACTGGTTCGATCGTCATCCACCTGGAACGTGGAGAATGCGATAGACTTGTAGACCGAATTTTGAAGTTCGCCTTCGGTTACACCGCACAATGGACATTGTACGGAGACCTATATCCCTACCGGCCGTTTAACGTAAATGGCTACATGAACCGAAACAAAGGACTCGTCAAACTAACAATAAGCCTATACACGGTTGGCCAAACAGGTGTTTCCTGTCATGGCCCTTCGAATTACGTCACATTATCTAGATGAGTTATAGTGTATAGTAATTGTCATCGATCAAAATTGATCATATGTTTACGATGCGCATCAAATGTTTCCATTTCATTTATAATAATCAATGACACTGGTGATATAGATTATGATATTAAAAAACAAAATCTTACATGATTCTAATTAATATGGAAAAATATAATTAATATAAAAAATATTTCAAATATAGCTATACTTTAAATACATTATTTTGAGTATGTGAATAAATGTGAATGTTTATAATTTTACGATAATGAATCATTTATTTAAATATTAGTCTTTTATATTATGTCATTATGTGTAAAATTTATAGGCATTATATATCGCAGAAAAATTTTTTTTCGAATGCTATTACATGCGGAAATTTATTTCGCGCTTTACATTAGCGCTACTCGAGGCACCGCGTGCTACACCCCTAGTTGCTATTTTCACTATCGCCCACGGGTTATTTATAACTGTAACGAATGTACGACAGACACGTTTCGTTGCCGGCGCGCAACTCCTACTTGATGGAAAATACATTTCAATCTAACTTACAACTGAATATGTGCGTCAGGATGGTCCATTCTAACTTATCAAACTATTTAGTGCTACTGGAGTATCACGACTACGCGGATCGCGATTGCGTATTTTATTTTCACGCGTATGCGATTATCTTAATTTCACATTTTTGTTCGTTGTGAAATTTTTGTCGTTTAGATTCACACCAAATCGCGCTCGTACTTGGAAAATTGTAAGTACAAAAAAGCCTATTAATTGAGCCGAAATAATTTCGTAGATAGCAATTCTCTGTATCGCCGTTTTTTCATGAAATAATTACTATATTTTTCGCAAACCATTGAACATTCTTAATAAAATACGTAGACAGAATATTTCTTTTTCTCTTTTTCATTTCTCTCCCTTTCTCTCTCTCTCTCTCTTCCATTAAGCTGAGCATTAATCTCTTTTTTTGAAATAATGATCTAAAATTCTTTTCGCTTTTTATGCAAGACTACGTATGCAAGATAATATTTTTGTAAAGCTATTTTTAAAAAAATTAACGATATTATTTTATTCATCTGTAATATGGATTTTATAAAAACAAATATAAAGTATCCTTTTATATAAATAACCGAAAGCCCTGACATACGATAATAATATAATTATAATGACATGGTTGTTATCTAGTGTAGGTCAAATGATATATTAGAGCTTCTGTTAAAGCCCATTAACGACGAGACAAGCTATCAATAATAATAACACATATCAGGTATGATTATAAATATTACAGAATTATGATACATATATCGTATTAATTGTCGAATCAAAGAATCTATTAATAATAATGCATTTCTCTCGACATATTTAAATATTATAATAATAATAATACGAGAAATTCAATGAAATTAAATAAAATGTGTACAATTATTATTTATTACATGTTTTATTTAATCGCATTATACATTTATCGTTTCATCCGTGAAAGTTATAATTATAAATGCAACATGCAATTGCTGCAATTTGCGACTGTAATATAATGCATCATTGTCTCTAAATGATAAACGTAATTAAATTCCCGTTATTTCCAACGTAATTAAACGCTCAATATAATTAAAAAGACAATTCTTACAGGCAATTTGCGCGTATTTTAGTATCAACTCTCGTTACACGCATACGTCATATAATAATAATTATTTAAGCATTAATCACTCGACCGCCTAATTATTTTACTCGCAATTGAGTAAATTCGTAACTTATTAACTCGATGAACGCGCGCTTTTATTATTATTAGTCAGAAATTTGTGCAGGCAACTTTTCGGACACTATCGGCCTTCGATTTCCATTGATGGCCTGCAATTTTATAACGTATAATCCATGCCATGCATTCATATTCAAATGCGTGGAAAGGATAATTTATATCTACCTTTATACATTTTGACGACTTTATCTCTGGCGTTCATTGTTCTCTCTTACAACGCAAATTGAACTAAAATTCATCATCATGGATATTTGCTACTGAATACCTTTGCAAAACGTCATTGCACGGTCCGTTAATTTTGCCGTAGTTGACATCGCGTGCGTCAGATGATACGTTACGAATTATTTGAATAGCATCGATCTATATTAGGGTACACGTAATATGCCCACATAATATGCCCTCACGCTCAAACAATCACTATATCGTCGTATTATAATATTTTTCGCCATGAAATAATAAATCTGCAATTCGACAAAGGCATAGGATACGTATAATAATTTTCGATCAAAATCGAACATCACAAAAAATATATAATTTTGATAATCTTATATCTGTTACATCTAACATACACATACATACACAAAAATGATAAATGATAATAAAATCGAGCACAGTTATTTAACCAAATTGTATTTTTTTGCTTTATCATTTTGCGCTGTTAGATAATTTGTGATATTTAGTAAAATGAAAATCACGATGTTGTAGGGCAATGTAAGGGTTGGTCAATACCTAGCAGGTGGTTAATTGTTTCAGGATTATCGGTCCGTATTAATGCCTATAGGCTGCTTAAGCTGGGAAGATTAGCGATTATTGGCTACTTTGTACGTATATCGTGTATATCAATGATACTGATTACAGACATTTTGGATAACAATGGATTCAAGTACAATTCCTAAAGTGAAAATAGCTCGAGCTTTAATCTCGCTGACGTCGTGCAATCTTGAGAATTATATTCGTCTTTAATGGTTCCCGAAACATTTAATTCAGCAGATATTGAAATTTGTCTCGAGGTTTCTAATAACGGAGAACAGTGTAATATAATATACGGCGAGAACGCTGTAAATTAATAATATAGAATTCAATTAAATAAATAGTTACGTTTAAAAAAATATTTAAATTAAAATTTTACATGAGAAAAACAAATCACGCGCCACGAATTTATGATTTAAATAAAATCAGTCATCTCATGAAATATGTATTTTTAAATTACATTTTTATTATATATTTACATTTTATTATAGAGTTGCATTATCCTTGATCTACTTTGTTTCCCAGAAAGATATACCAATGCCATCGTTTGAAGAACCGGAACTGGAATTTGCGGAACCTAGCAAGTAAGACAATTTTTCTGGCTGATAATACAGTCCGTATCTACTCTCTTGCAATCTTGAGAATTATATTCGTCTTTAATGGTTCCCGAAACATTTAATTCAGCAGATATTGAAATTTGTCTCGAGGTTTCTAATAACGGAGAACAGTGTAATATAATATACGGCGAGAACGCTGTAAATTAATAATATAGAATTCAATTAAATAAATAGTTACGTTTAAAAAAATATTTAAATTAAAATTTTACATGAGAAAAACAAATCACGCGCCACGAATTTATGATTTAAATAAAATCAGTCATCTCATGAAATATGTATTTTTAAATTACATTTTTATTATATATTTACATTTTATTATAGAGTTGCATTATCCTTGATCTACTTTGTTTCCCAGAAAGATATACCAATGCCATCGTTTGAAGAACCGGAACTGGAATTTGCGGAACCTAGCAAGTAAGACAATTTTTCTGGCTGATAATACAGTCCGTATCTACTCTCTCTCTCTCTCTCTCTCTCTTTCATTCTTTTCTGTTTTCTACTTCGTGTACTTTTGTTTAAAACGCTTTGGCTACTGTGCGGCGCACTGACCATAAATAGCAAATTTGTTGCGATGTTGATTCTTTTTCTTATCTTTTTATTACATGATACAAAGAAAAATATAGAAAATTAATGCTTGCCCGATTTATAAATGTAATTATTATTTGTAAAAATAAAAAGTTTTTTTTTCATTTTTATTAATAAAATACATTTTTTTTCAGAAAAAGAAGGAAACTAATTTTTACACGGTGCATCAAAATAGAAAAAGAATTTATATTATTTTTCAATAAAAATTAATAATCTGCTGATTCTGACTCACAAATTAATTAAGATACATTATCTTGATATCAAACACATAGGAAAGATTCTATTTTTTTATAAACGCGTAATTCTCTGGAATTCTATCTCAAAATAGTTTGATGATTGCCGATCATGATAATTTTAGTCTAAAGTGTAGGTTGAATGACGCAAATCGAGACCGGTCGAAAAACAGGAAACCCACCGCGTCGGGGTTTCCGTCTCTTGTCTACTTTACTTGCGAGACCTTTTTTTCCCCGATTGTGCAACACGGTTTTACACAGTAAACCCTTGATATATATATTTTGTAAAAGTCGAATCGTGCGTAAAGTTGCACTCGTGTCCGGTAAAAGCCGTTCCTTTTTTCCGCTATCATGTATATACCGCGATCCAATTTCCTGTCCGATGCGCTCACTCTACATGGGATCATTGTTTATTTCCGCCAGCGCGTGACAGCGAAAAAAATTGTGAACGCGAGAAATCTCTGATGCGATTCCGCGGAATTTGTAACATAAATTTGCACTGTGGAGAAAATCAGGTCTCGTTGTTATTTTCCCCTCGGTCGTTTCGCTTTATGTCATTTTTCAAATGCGTATGATGAAACGAATCGGCGGTATCGGCCTGATATTTGTGACAGCCGCGAACATAGAGTTAGAATTTAAATTAGTTTTTTTTTCTTTTTAATGAGATAGAGCGCAACAAGTCCTTTCATTTAAACCAGAGAATCATATTTGCCTGATAAACGACTGTTGTAAATCATTAAAAGCTTGAACGATAAAAGCTTGTAACGATAAAATATTTTTTTCGGAACAGCAAAACATGTGTTATCAAAAAATAATCTCTATCTCATTTTAAATAAAACATATAAGTACTCTTTATTATATTCTCTTATAAATAAATCGATCACCTATCTAAACAGAGATAATATTACAGAATTGTGAAAGTGTGCCAAGAATATTTGATTCTATGGAAATTTGACTATTAATGTTAGATAATAGAATATGTGCATACATTTGCGTAATCGTGGTTAATGCAACGCGAAAGCTATCAAAGTGGGAAAGAGAGAGAGAGAGAGAGAGAGATAGCAGGGGAGGAAACTACCCAATATCCACGACAATAGCGCATTTCCTGTTCACGCGAGTGTCAATATCAGCGCGCCGCCTCCGCACGTTTATTGTTTCCACTCGATTGTGGATCGAAACTTTGACTTTATCTGATACAAAGTAATGAGACAGGGAGGTCGTGCGGTCGATGGAACGTCTCTACGCCGTACCGTCGGAAAAGCTGCGGGTTTGGATGGTTTGGCTTACCGGCGTCGGCGAGATAGCCGACGAGTGGCACAAATGGCTACGGGCGCACATTGATCTGATCGGCGAGCGTCTTCAAATGGTCGCGAACAACGTCCCGGGAGACAGCAGCAAGATTGAATCCGTCGTAAGTATTGACGCTATTTCGCTAAATCGCGATACCTGAGAAGCGACGTGTCGAATCAACGTTGCGCTTTATATATGTATACATTACCTGGATTCTTTTTATAATGAGTCGAACGAGAAATTCTAAGTTAATAGCTTTAAATCGAATGGGGGGATTGATGGTTTAATTATGTAAATTTCTGACAAAGAGATTAGTTGAAAAAGAGTCTAAAGTGGAACGAAATTAATCGGATAATCCCTTTTTTATATCGTTTATATCTGAGGAACTTAAAAAACGCCGAAATTTTAATTCTCAGTATTAAAGACTTATTAAATAGCCGAGCGTCTAACTAAGTTTTAGATATTTTTTCCTCGGTGAAACTTCATGAGATTACCAGAAGAATAAATTCTCCTCGTTTTTCTTTCCGTGAATATATTATACATCTGTTTCGTTTATCTAGGATATTGTTGCAATGTTGATATAGTCAGACAGCCGTGTAATGAGAAAGTCAACAATATGTGGAAGTTGATCGTATCGGATGTATTGTTTTACGAGAAAGAGAGAGAGACAGAGAAGCCACATACATACATCGTGAAATACCGTATAAACACATAGCACAATGCCTTTTTATCATTTGTATCTTAAAAAATAATGTTTTCGACGAATTTACACTGATATTTGTTACTTTCTCAGCTTTTTTAGATTTGTAGCTTACACGGCAAACAATTAATCATCTTAATACTTGAATCAAAAAGTAAAATATATTTTTTTATTTAGTATATATATATACGTTTGCTATATCTATTTTTTTAATAATTATTTTTGTAGAATGCAAAAAATGTAATCTAAATAATTAGTAATATGATTATGCCATAGATAATATAATAATTAATTAACAAAACGTTTGAAATTTCTAAATCTAACTATCTTAAGTAATTCTTAAATAACTGATATCACGCAACCGTTATCTTATACAATTTCACATTGTAATTTTCTTGAGTTACGGAACAAGGATTCGAGCATTGAATCATCCGAAGTTTCCATTTATTGTTTCGATAACGCTGACCGTTGATATTAGGATTCGCGAAAGAACGGCAATATATATCTTAACACGATACTAAATCATAGATTTTATCTTGAATGTACAGCGTGCTTTCTTCTAATGTATACATATAATAAAAGATCGAGGTTTGCCTCAATTAATCTCTCTCGCGTAGACGAGAGAGATTACCTGTCAAAGTTTCTTTTACAGTTGTCATTATGCATTTCGTGTATATAGGTCGCACGATGCTTTTCTTAAAAGCATTAAATCTTTACTTTATAAGTGTCCTTTATTCGAACGTTCGGACCGATGGATGATAAATTAGCAGATAATTAACCTTTTCACTAAAAGCAACATATTTATCACCGAAAGTTACAAATATACGGTTTCAAATATTTCAAATATGTGTGTCTCGAATATGCAATAAAAAAAACTATCAACATCAGCGAATTGCAGTAAAATTATGGGGAAAGAAAAACGTGGATACGTTCGCTCGAAAATTTTGGGTCAGAAAGAAGAACGATATTTGCTATCAATATTTGAAGACGACGCTTGCAAACAGTACGATATCATGCATTTTCCACAAAATTGCAATATGTTACGTCTTAATATTTACTGAGCCGTATTTTGCGATTTAACGTTTATTCCTTCGAGCAATAACGCAGCGCAGAAACTTTAGAAATATTTCATTTATTTTTTTTATAAATTTTCCTCCTCAGGCTAAAATATGTTTTGAGAGAAAGAATACGCGCGCGACCAAAAAGAGAACGCGAGCGGCGGAAAATTTTCAAGAGTACCTCGCGAACTGTTTATTCGCCTCGTTTCTTTTCAATTCCGTTATACGAGATTTCATGATCTTAATGCAGGAGTGTTTATCTTTCGTTTCATAGACAAACGCTAAGTCCGAGGAAATCCTTGATAACGCGATGGCAACAGGAAAGGAAGAGAGAGATGTATCCTTTAATGCCTTCAACGGTATGCGGAGATATTTGTGCATCTTTATTATATGTTAAAATTGTCGTACGCATACGTAAAATCGGAGCGAAACTTTTAATTAAATTTTTTCACGCTATATATAACTTTAATTTAAAATTTTTTACATTATATATCGCTAAAAAAGTAACAAAACAAAATTTAAAATAAATTCCTAACAAAAATAGTAAAATGCGATTATTAAATAAAAAAAATTTAGTAATATTTTTGATATATAAACGTAATATCTAAAGCCGCATGCATTGTTTCCCACGTTTCGAGTCATTTAAGGCTTTCACGTTATTCCAAACAGATTTTACATGGCTTTACAGCGGAGATTTTCAAGCGAGATATTAGCCGGTTAATATCACGGGTGGGATTTTATGTATTTAACATATAATATCAAAGTTTTGCATTATATAAACTCTATAAAGCCGACTAAAATACGACATAAATGCTTGCACGTGTTTAGTCAAAATTGCGATCGTTATTAAAAGCATTATTTTCAAAACGAGAGACATCCTCTTTTAATAAAGATTCTAATAAAAATGGATTTGTATTTTTCATCGCATTTTGAGCTTTGAAAAATCCGATCCAAAAGATGTCTCGTTGTAAAAAAAAAAAAAAAAAAGAAAGAAATTCTTTGACCGCTATCACACGTTATAACAATAATTTCAGTCGAGAAGCGAGTCGATGAATCACCGGAAGTAACGGCAAGCGAATCGAGCGCGAATCAAGGTTCGTCACGAACTCGCAACAATCTAACTGAGAGCACTGGTAATCTCTTCGCGAACGCGTGATATCGCGAGATTATCTCGCGCACACGTAACGCCCAGAGATAAATGATGATCTTTCATAACTGAAAGCAGGGTGACTGAGAAAAGCCAAAGTACATCTGACTCTCCCTCTCTGCTTTTACATAGCCGGCAAACTTTATTTATTTAGTCGGAAAGTGAAACGAATATAATAATTTAACAAAGAGAAAAGAGAAACTAATCTAAAAAGCTGTCCTTGGTAAAGCGAGATGAATTGTAAAAAGTACATCGTTGTTTCTACAAATTTGAAATTACTCGCCTTAAAGTTAAACAATCTTTATGTGTGGCTTTCCGTACCGCGATATAACTTTAAAATATTTACATACATTTCCCCTTAAATGAAGAATTATTGCACGGAGCTTGACATAGTTGGGATCGCGCGACTTCATATTCATCAGTTGTTTGCCTACAGATTCGTCAGGGTGGGGCTGTCGTGCTTAATCTGGCGCACCACCTGACGTACGGATTGCACGTGACGTTTCGCGATGTATTTCATTTCACCTGCGAGTCCGATGTACAGGGCTGGCGGTATCTGTACAATAGGATCTTCAGTATTGTCTGCAGGAATATTGGCTTTTGGTTGAAGGAAGGAGGACAGGTGAAGGCGGAGAAGAGGAGAGCACAAGGACGACGACGAGGGTGGCAACGGATGCGAGCGAGACGGCAAAGGAAACCGCGACGGTTTGGCCAATAGGGGCAAGTTGGCAGCCCTTGACTCGTTGTCCGATCGAAAGGAAAGCGGATCAGATGGAAACGATTCCGGTAACTTTATCCGGAGGAATTGTTCTCCCGCCCACTCGCACGTAATTCCCGTGCAATCGTCGATCTCTCGGCATCTTTACAGAAGGGTGATCGAGGAGCTTCCAAATGACATCACTCACTCGGTCTTTTTTTTTTTTTGTTCCGCGATATGGCGCGACGATCCCTCCCGATACCGTCGTTATTTCTTCCACGCTTTTATTAGATAGATGCAATAAAAGCGCAAGCGAAAAGGCAAGACGTTACAATCGCGATAAACTGAAACGCATCAAGTCACAAAATGCGTTCCATCTTTCCGGTAACAACCCTTTATTTATGACTTTGCGCGTATCGAGATCTTACTTATTATTTTTTATATTTCTGGAAAATTTGAAGGTTTATTCGTTTGTTAAATTTTTCACTTTAAATGCATTTCAATTTGACTGAAAGACGGTCATTTAATTTGTGCAGAGTCTTAAGATGCCGCAGGACGAGATAGAAAGGATTGAATTCCTGAAGAATTTTACGCATCAAGCCACCTTGTACGGATCTTATTACAAGCATTGGATAGAAACCGCTGATCAAGTAGCTATCTATCATAAAATATTTTCTTTTAATCTTACGATATAAGAGGCGTTCTGTTAATTCTGGTTCTTTATTGCCCACGGCGCACTCGCGAATCTCATTATAGAAATGCAAGAATTTTCTCGAAGAAATATCGGATTATATAACTCCTTACTGATGCGAAAACGGCGAAACACAAGAAATTAATAATTTTCAAAGAAATATGATATTAAATAATATTGAATAAGAAAATAAAATAATATAACGCGCGTGGAAATAAATAAAAATCACCTATATTCCTTAGCAACCGCACCGAGAGAAAAAAGTTGTTAACTTGACTAAATTCGTCCAACTAATTACTATTTTTTTGTATTTTTTAAATTGAAAAATTTAAATATTTAAGCCAAATACGATCTATTAAATCTAACATGATGTATATTTGACTTAAATATTTAAATATTTCAATTTAAAAAATACAAAAAAATAGTAATTAATTGGACGAATTTAGTCAAGTTAACAACTTTTTTTTGTCAGTGCGGTATCATAATAATAATTGGACCGAGATGTTCCAAAGAAAAGTTACGCTATCGATCTTATTACAGTCTTACATATGACATTTCAGTTTCATGCCATTGTGGCATCAGTCTTACGTTACTGCATCATTTATTAACTCTTACGATTCAGATGACTTATGACGATAAGTGCGTATCCCGATCCTGCGTGATATTGATCCCTGATACTTTTGCGATAGGCCATAAAGGAAATTGCCGGCAGAACGGTGATGACCACAGCGAAATTTCGAGGAACAGACGACGGCGAATCGAGGTTGGATGTAGATGCTTCGCAGCCTGCTCAATATTCAATGAAGCAACCTGAAAGCGCCGTCGCTCAACCGATAGAGGGAACGACGGCTGCAACGGCGGAAACGTCGATGTCGAGCCGGATTGATCTCTCGACGTCGAAAGATGCGCTTGAGCAGGACACCGTCGAAGCGTCGACAGCGTTATCGGATGATCAATCTAAAGTAGTTGAGCCGCCCACGAAGAAGGAGACAGCTGAAATGGAGGCTGAGTCTGCCTCTGCGCAACCGGATGCCGTCGAATCCCCGTTTGCGGAACCCGATGCCGTATCCCTGTCTGTGGAACCGGATGCGACCGCGCGCGCGACACCGCAACCGGAAACGACATCCCAGATGTGGCCGACAATGGAGCCTATCGTCTTGATGCCACCGCCCGAGATCGCCGCGACATTGTCCGTGGTATGTAAACCGTGATCGTTCGCGAAAATGACAATGTTCCGAAAACTCCGTGACACAGACGGTTATGTGAGGAAATGTTGCACGAAGTGTTTACAAACCGCAGTACACCTAAATTTCGATGAAACTCGCTGGCTATACACAGAAGTGATGTAAATAAATCTAACGTGTTTCCGTTTAATGTCACATGTTATGGAAATATGAAAAAAAGATCTGTTTTCCGGAATGTTTTCTGTCTGAAAGAGTAACAAAAATACAAAAGTAATTAACATACTATTCTGCAAAATTTTGAAATTTTTGAAACAATAAATCAGAGAGCGCGTAAAAGAAAAGAAATATCTCTCATAAAATAATTCTATAACGCGGAATGTATGTAGATTTATAAAGCGATGCGATCGATGTGTAGCAAGGCCATCAACCGCGATGAAAATCACGAAAATTAATATTAGATGCCGAACCGGAAATCAGATCGCGGTGACATCGCATGAATGGTATCAAAGATCGGAAATATCTTGAAATTTGGAGTGCAATTTCGAGATACATACGAAATTGATGTTGACAGTGACGCAGACACTGGTCAACGTTCGAAAGCGACGGCGAACATTCGAATAGCATTACGGCAATCAATCAGACCGCTATTAGCTCGTTGCAATCAATCGTTACGTTTGATAGCACCACTTTACTCGCTATGCAGAAGTAAAACTAAGTTTCTGCTACCGCAATCCATCTATCGACTGTTTAAATGTCAATGACATGGCTTGCACTAATTGCGTAACGAGACGACGATCACACGGCGGCTTTACGTGTTAAGCGAATATTCGCAATGGAATATTTGAAAACGTCACTTTTAAATAGCTCGGAATAACATATACATATTGTATAAATTTTTTATTATATTTTACATTTTTTTATAGAAACAAAGAGAGAGAAAGAAAGAGAATAAAGTTTATTCCACAGTTTTACACGTGCAGTTTTTTTAATTTTATGTTGTCATATTGTAGATCGTATTATAATCATATTATTCCATATATCATCTCTTTCTAGAGAAAAATATATACCGAGATGGAAATTTTATGCTCTTCGATAACATGCTGTCTATGCTTTGATATTTGTAAACACCATGCATGGCAAATTGTTCTCAGCCGCGAGTTAGAAGATGATAGACAGTGTCAATTTATCATCGTCTCCGCTTACGTTAGTGTAACAGTGAGAGTGTAACGTGTTTATTTAGTATCCAGATTCCATCAGTGAAACATTGGACCGATATCGAGTTTAAAGATTAATGATTTGTTTGTAACACACTCGACAAAATGCAATCAGCTTACAAAATTACTAGAAGCCTATATTATCTGCATAGGCAATCTGCTTTCATCGACAAAAGCTCCATAATATCACAAAAATTATAATATATATTTGTAATTTATTACATTGAAATTTACATTCGTAATATATTAAATATATATTAATATCAAAAATCTCTCTCTCGTGCAATATCCGACTTAATTAAAAATTTTATATAAAACCATTCTTTTTTCACATTGTAAATAATATAATAATATTGTATAAAATTATATGTGTTCTTGAGTTATGTGGAATTAATTTTATTCATACGCAAAACTAATAACGTGTTCAATTACAGCAAGAAGCAACAGCGAAACGTGAAGCGGCCGAAAAATTGGTAAGGGATATGGCACGAGCCGAAGAAAATATTCCATATTTCTTCTATCTGAAGGCAGAGCCCGATATAGATATTGCAATTCGGTACAATGACGAAAAAGTAATACCGCCGGATCTTGATCGTGAAAGTATCTCCGCCAATCGCAGACATCTGTATTTTAATCTGACCGATAAACTCGGCAGAAATTAATCCGTAATATTAGTTATATAAAAGATTTATTAAGATAGCATTCTAACGTATTCTCGCTCTTTCTCGCAAAAAGAATTAATAAATAAAAAAAGATATATTACCGAGACACAAAATGTAAGCTATAAATAACTGTGTAAAAAAATTTATAAATAAAATGAATGAAAGATTAATAAATGAAATAAAAAGAAATATATTGCTGAAACAAAATATGCTATACACGTGTGTATAATCTGTGTATATTTTATGTTTATTCTTATGAAAAATAAACGGCTCGCGCGTGGTTAAAATATGAGCAGTATACGGAGAAATCTTCGCAAGCGTGATAATCTCTAGAAGTTGTGAGATTAAAGTGACTTCGCCAAGTCGAAATGCCCGTTAAAAGAATGTTGCTGCAATTTATGTCGTGTGTATCCGTGTAATCCGTCGCAGTGCAGAGAGTAAGAGAGAATCACGGTCGCGTACTTAAATTATGGCAGCCGGCTATCAACGTGCTCTCGCAGCAAAAATATGTGAGCATTACGGCGGTGATAAAGGACGTGGTTCGCGGCCAAATCCGACCTCACCGTTAGTTTCCTTCTCGAGAGCAGCAGCGGACATACGTGCACTCGGCGCTAAGTGAAATCAGCGAATCCATTGAAAGAGAACACAGTTTAAATCTTCATATTTTAGAAGCTTATCAAGAGCTTCTTCCCGAGTTTCTCCTCTGCGCGTCTCTTTATTCGCCCCGAGATTCATTTATTCCATTTACAGAGTTATTTCCCTTTATCAGGAGAAAAGCTCGTAATTTGTCAGACGACGCGCCATAATCGCGGAGGATATTTGCCTCTTCGGTAATCGCGCCTGTATTTTCTTCAATCGTACACAGGGAAATACAAGGCTCGAGGAATTTAATGTTTCTCGATTTATCTGTATGTCGATAAGGCCCGCTTGTATGTGGACCACAGATTGCTGTACCGCAGCGCATACGTTAGTTGAACGTTTATCTTTTGCACAAGCGCCGAACTTGCGTATGGTAACTCTCATTTAGAACAATGTTTCTCTAAGCTATGCTTCTAACATCCGTCAGAGTGATGCGGTAGTTTGTGGTTTCATTGCGGCTTGTGTTTTCGAGACTAAAGCGGTAAATAAAAGCATAATAAAACAGCATCGAAAGCTCCCTATGAGTTATAGTCCCCGATTATTAAATACAAATTATTATTCTTAAAATGTGTTTAATTCTTTAAAAAATCGCAAATATACAACTAAGATATTCATAAGAAATAGAGTCCTAGATTTAATAAATGCATTTTGCAAGGGCAATAATTAAACCTAGCATTATATTGAATCGGTTATATAACATTGATGTGAAATAGGAATTATATAATAATATAAAATTTGATTCTATTCTTATTTTTATATTTATTTATAAAAATATTATATTGAGATTGACTGCATCAATCTTATTGGAACTGGTTGCAATCAAAAGCTTCTTGATTATGTTGTCAGATTCACATACTGTCGATATCATAGAGGACCACTGACAAAGGAACAGCGATTTTCATCACGGATAGTATGCTATTTTCCACAATAGGAGAGAAACCTACGCGCGAACATAAGCGGGAAAGGGACGCGCCTCAATAATCTATTCGTTTCATATAGGTCTGTCATATATCATTTCAGATAACTATGAACATATGTAACGACCGAAAGCAGCGGCCGGCAGTAAGTGGGTGTAAATAATGCAGTCGGCCGTCCGGCCGTGACGCGTTTGTCACTGGAAAGGGGAAAAGGGGACCTTGCCTTTTTCAACATGCCTATACATATATATATATATACCACGTTGACGCCGCATCTGCGGTTTGCATTTATTTTACATGACTTTATCCTTTATTATAAATATAAAAGCGAGCCGTACAAAATGTGTCCCCCCAGACCTAGCCTTCCATCCGTTGATTTCTTGACTGAATTTTAATGTAGCAAAAATGTTGAGAGAGATCACGAATTTTCATAAATATTTAATTCTTTTATTAAAGAATAAATATTTCTGTAACAAATCTTCAAATTACAACTCTGTTAAAATTGCTTGAAATTATATATATACGAGTAAAAAATTATTTTAATATTATTAATTTATATAAAAACTACTGCACGCATAGTTCTCGCGAAGAAAAGAAAATTAATTTCCTAAATTACTCAAAAGTTTATTAAGATAAAATGTGACTTATTAGGTATGGACAATATTGCGTTTCCGACGCTACCATATTTTCGCATATTCATCAGAACTTACGATGTAATAATAGGATGGTGCACAATATTAATGTGGATGAGAAGGAGAAAGGAAGTAATATGTAACGGGAGCTTCCGATGAAATCTAATACAACACGAGAACTACCTAGAACACGCGAGAACTACGAGGAACCAAGGGGTGACCTCAGCTAAGCTTCATCGGTTCTGAGTATCGTATAACAGCGACAGAGCGTCTTATAATGACTTGCAATTATTAACGTCCAGTTCAAATTTTTAGACGTCTTCAGTCCTCATTTGCCAGTTAATGAATTTAATTTGCCATCGAGTAAAATGTCCAAGAAGGAACTACAGTATCTCGAAAACTCGTTGGAGACGAAGACAATATCGCGAGGTAGAAGCATGAAATGAAGATGAATATATATTCATAATTATTTAATGCGGCTTGCTTCTCGCAGAGCATTTCACATAATAAACGATGGATTGCTCGAATACTCGGTAATATTAACAGTAATGAGAAAATAATAATTTAATAACAGTAATGTCGAAAAAAACGATAAAATAACCGCGATTACACAATTGTAGCGATTTAATAAAAATGTGATAGACACAATTGCGGTAACTTTGTTAGAGATAAATTTACACGTACGGCACGAAGAAGACTAAAATGGAAAGCAGATAGAGTGTGGAAAAGTTTTTCGGCAAATTGGATTTATTAACTGAACAAGAGTGGAACATGAATACTAATCTATTGTCTCATTATATTTTGCGTCATAAATTAATTATGGTGTAATATATGACCGAAATAAGAACTAAAAACTAGGTGCATGACAAGATTACATATTTCTGTTATTGTATTTTTCATAATTCGGAATTAATAGTTAGATTTCTGTACAAAATGATATTTAATATCACGGCATTTCTTAAAATACAATATTACATTTTAATATTAATTATATATTCAATGCAAGCAGAAAAAAATCTTTTTTTATTTTTATTATAAAATTATCAGAACTATTGCATTAAGATTAACATCTTATAATTATGTAAAATGAATGATGTTTTAATTAAAATTTCAAGAATATTCTTGACGTATCTTATAATAAAAAAAGTTACGTCGTAGCAATTTTTCGCCCGAATTTATATAGAATTTTCCGAAATAGGTCATGTTATGCTGAATTATTTAATCAGTAACGATAGCACGTCACGATTATAGGGCGAATCCCTTGGCCATTCATACAAACTTAGGTGGCTGAACGACCTGTCAGATATCTTGAGATGTCATGAAAAGGAAAACTCCCAGCAAATGGCTGGCATAGCATGATGTTCCACTTAGATGAGATATTCGCGCAAGTTAGGAATGGTATCGCAGGAGCGTGTAAAAATCGATCTCGAAACGTTTTCTGCTGCCTTTCTTGCTTCATATAAAACTGTGAGCGATGAATCGATTTTAACGTAAAATAATACGTCGTCGATATTTTTCTCGCGAGTTTCGCACAAATATTCTTTCTTTGAAATATCCTTTCAATTGAATTTGCCCCGGAAACGTCTCTGTTTTCGAAATGCGTTTACGTCCAAGATAACATTATTCATAACTTGCGAATGAGAGGCTTGACGCGAGGATCCTCGATTATGCAAATACGGAACGTAACGGATCATCCCGTTAGAACGCGCGTTGCCGATAGCAAATAACCAATTCGTATATCATTACGAAGGCGCCTTGGATACGTAGTGGGTGAGCTAGTTAAATTATTAGCACGAGCAGCAACAAATATTGACCTATACTCGGTACCGGTTTAGCATCTCTTCGACATATGGCTTGATCGTTACCGAGGGGATGTGTCTCTAGCGAGGGATGGGCGATGGGAGATGCGATGCGGTTTCGCTTACGTCGAGAGACCGCGGCACCGCCGGAATCGATAACATTCGTGAACGGGTCCCTCCACACAGTTTCTTCGCTATTTGCACATTTAATTGCCGCCATGAACTTTGCCCGGTTATCGCCTTTGGCCATCCACCGCTCCTGGGATAAACCGCCCTTTATGAACTAGCTATTAACCTTTAAGTTCTGCACGCGGGATGCCTTTGATAACACGAAATTCTATTCCGGAAACGGCGTTTGCCTGTTATCCTTGCGAGTTTCTTTAATCTTGATATTTCAGGGGTAAATAAAATAATTTTCACATTAATTCAACGTGCGTTAATGGAAGATGACTCATTAGAATAAAAAGTAATTATGCACTTGTGCAGTTTATCCGCCCCATCCGGCAAAACTTGCTCTTTATCTATTAATCTCGTCATGTTGCTGTGACTCTGGCCGGCGTATTTTATAATGAAGAAATTTCATTAGGGCACGATTCAAAAGCAAAAGTTCAACGTTGGATGAATGTTAATGACATTATTTTCATTATACGAATATAATCTGCGCGAGGAAGTTAAAAAGCGCTCAAAATCTCATTCGCCGATTTGGATCTCCTAATTTGAGAAGAAATTAATCTAAATTTAAATCTCTCTCTCGGATTTTTTAATTCTGTCCTGAAATGTGTGCCAGTCGCGCGCGGCATGGATTCCCGCTTATAAACCGCGCGTGGAATATATCACGTTATCATTTTCACTCATCAATCGCGACAGATTACTTTGCGCGCGGTCGATTATGAAAATTGTTCCGATCGCTCTATATTCTCGTTTTTTTCTTCGTCTGATATCTCGTGCGGCACAGCTGGCGCGATCGATTTCGAGGCAATTTTCTAATACGCCCATAAATCAATTTTAGCACCATTTCAGAAGAGGATTTTAATACTAACTCACGCAATCGTCGTGTTCGTACAAAATTTCACCCTCCATACAGGATTAATAATAGCTTCGAATGATTTTTGCAAAAACTTCTGCTCCGATAGAGTTAAAATTATAATGGTGTTACCGAATACCATGTGAGATTGTTAG